CTATCCAGGTTCCTTCTCACAGTCCTACTATCCAGGATTTCATATCGAAGTAACCCTACTATCCAGGTTCCTTCTCACAGCCCTACATTCCAGGCTTTCATATCGAAGTAACCCTACTATCCAGGTTCCTTCTCACAAGCCCTACTATCCAGGCTTTCATATCAAAGTAACCCTACTATCCAGGTTCCTTATCGCAGCTCTACTATCCAGGCTTTCATATCGAAGCAACCCTACGACCCAGATTCCTTCTCACAGCCCTACTATCCAGGCTTTCATATCGAAGTAACCCTACTATCCAGGTTCCTTCTCACAACCCTACTATCCAGGCTTTCATATCGAAGTAACCCTACTATCCAAGTTCCTTCTCACATCCCTACTATCCAGGTTTTCATATCGAAGTAACCCTACTATCCAGGTTCCTTCTCACAGCCCTACCATCCAGGATTTCATTTCGAAATAAACCTACTATTCAGGTTCCTTCTCACAACCCTGCTATCTAGGCTTTCATCCCGAAGAAACCCTACGACCCAGGTTCCTTCTCATAACCTTACCATCTAGGTTTCTTTTCTCTTACCTCCAGACAGCAGTCCACAACACTGTAAGACCTGGACCTGATCAAACACGATTAGTTTCGCATTTCCCCAGTAAGTCGTGGTACATCATGTACTCGGACCTAATACGCAGTTCACCTCCGCTTCCGCAAGTAAGAGTTATTCCCCAAGTAGAGTAACGGACGACTGAAGCTCCTAAAATTCTATTTCTCCCAAGACAGATACCAACATTCCTTAGCAGATTCCTCCTCAGCGATAGGATCAGGGACTCCCATCGAAGGAATGTCTCAGGAAATTAACATCCTCCAGATGGCATCTTTAAGCCCATCTCCGACGGTACTCCGTCACATCTTGGATGGAATCTTTAAGCCCATCTCCGAAAATTCTCTAGAGACTTACAAATGGCATCTATAAGCCCATTCCCGATATCACAAATCATGTGTCACTTCAAGCGAGTGCAAATTTCTGGGCACTCTAGTGTTCAATCACCTTCCACCTTCAGATCACGAAAGGCAGACGAGCCAATCTACATCCTCAGGTTTAAGAAGATGGAACAGGGGCAGCTGTTGTACCCCAAAATTTTCCCTCTCATTTTACTCAATACATGACCATTGAGATCTTCAATTTGCTCAAGTTTACCCAAGAGTTGACCAGACAAACTCTCTCCTAAGGCAGTATGTCTCAAATTAGGGTTTCCATGTTCATCAAGATAGGTGGACTCCAAGGACCTCATATAATCTCCATGGTCTTAATATGTTCTCAAGACCCTACATGTCAAGTTTCATGCCTTGCACAAGAAGCTTGCTTAATCAATTGCTCAGATGCTTGAGAATCGACTGTATTAGGTTAAAAGTCAACTGTGACCCACATACAGTCAAACTTCAAGATTTTTGGTCAACATTAACATTTTTAAGTGAATTTCATCATTTGATCAGGGGTTGATCATGATTCCCCGAGGAATGCTCCAAATTCATCAAAACCCAAAAGTTGCTAAATTAGGGTTTCTTAGTAAAAGTCAACCAAACTTTGACCAAGCATAACTTCCACATGCTTCATCAGAAATTTTCCATACAAGGCTCATTTTGAATAGGATGCAATTACCTACAATTCATATTCATCCCACAAGTTCAAAATATGCACTCATAAAAAGATATGAATTTCTACATTATGGGTCCTTTTGAAAAGTCAACAAAAACACCTTTTGGGTCAAAGCTTCTTACATGAACATGGAAGACTCAATTGAGATGATACAAAAAAGGTTTCTTAGGGGACATCCTAAGATTTCTAAAAAGTCCAAGAACACCTCTCTAGGGTTAAAATTGGAGGAGATATGTCATGTCAAAGTTGACCCTTTTTCCAAAATTGCTAAAAGTCAAATGTGCTCAAAAATGCTTTTTTTGCTAAATGGGCCTAACTTTTTATGCTTGTACCTCACTTATAATGTGGTCCACGACCCAAATGTTCATCCACACATTATTTGCTTCATTTTTTAAATTTATTTTGATTTTTATTAATTAAAAATTGAATTAAATCAAATAATTGATGAATAATAGCAAAGATATGATTTGATTTGGTTTTTGGATAGGTTGGCAATCAAAATATGCTGAGTTATCAAGGCCAAAATGAATCAAGCATAATTGGTACAAGAAAGGGATTATTTGGCTCAAAATAGCAAGTTTGCATGTAGCTTGAAAATCAAATCAAATCTCTCATAATTGCAAAGATTCAATCCAATTTCACAACCCTAATTAATTCCTAAATATATATTGGACAAGAACAAAGCATGGAACAAGTTTTTGCAGTCGTGAAAGTGAGAGAACAAGAAGCTCAAAATTGGACAAAAGTGGTGAATTGGTTTCAATCATACAGGCCATCTCAAGCCATCCTAGCATTGCCAATCGATTGTTGAACGTCTCAGGAAGCTTTCCCAATCAATCACAAGCCCTTTCACGCCCAGAAATATATTGTATGAACATTACAGTTTGCCTTATTTTTTGAAAATGATTACATCAATTCTTGCATTGTTAACACATTTGATTGGCATATCTGTGATCTTTATCATATTTGCAAGCTAACTGAATGGTTTAATTGTATTTTTGAAGCCTATATCCGTACTTGCCATTGTTAGGGTTTGAAGCCACATTTTGGGGTTTCTTGACATAGGTAAAATTAGACCATGAGCTGGATACTGAGATGACCGGGACATCATGACGGGTTGAACCACGGTCTTCAATTCCATTTATATTGCGTTTTGCGAATTTTTGAATTGCACAGGTTTTTAGCCATAGAAGTTGTCAGTAGGTATAGGTTATATACCTAACACGACGGTTCCAAGAGGAAGAAGATATGTGTCAGCCAGCCATTCGCCCATTTGAAATAGCGCGCGTGATTTTGTTTCAGTCTCATGGAATTTGTTTTGATATATTATATATTGTTCTTATTTCTTTAACAACTAACCAGCATAGTCTAGTTGGCAGAGGCGTGTTGTTGGCAAGCATAAGGACCTGGGTTCGATCCCAGGTCCCAGCATTCCCTTTATTTTATTTTCTTTCCACAAATCCAGCGTATCTCTCATCCTGGTGTCCACCATACATCCTTGCGTTCAGCTGTTTGATCAAGCATACTATCAGATCTAATGCTCCAGCAGTGAGGGACCATGATGCACCCTCAAGTCAACGCTACAAGGAATCAAATGCTGACCGGGCTTGAAGGGTTATTGGGCTTAGGAAATTCAGATTTCCTCCCCCCATTTGCTAGTACACAGGCTCAGTTTGCATTTTCTTTCTATTTCTTTTTTTTAAATTCTTGAATTAATTTCTTTAATTATTTTAATTAATTAACACAAAATTATTATTTTTCATAAAACTAAAAATAAAATCCCAAAAATAGAGAAATATTAAATATTTATTCAAACTAATATTTTTTGAAAATAAATTAGGTTAATTAGTTTATTTGATTATTTTGTTTCAATTAAAATTAAATAGAAACTAGGGTTTAAATTTTATAATTAAATTTCTTTTCTCAAATAAAAACCTCAAAAATACACAAAATCTTTTTTGTGAAATATTTTATTTTCTTGAATTATTTAATTTAGTTTAGATTCGGTTAATTTCAACTTCTTTTAATTAAAAATAATTAGAATTAGGGTTGTAGTCGTACATAACTTAATTAAATCTTTTTTCAAAAATAGGTTAAATATTTTTTCAAGTTGATTTTTAGGGTTTTTAATTTCTCCTCGCATTTAATTTACCACGCGCATTTTCAGTTCGTTTTATTATTATTGTAACTGCTCCGAGATTGTAATAGTAATTAGGGTTTTAAACTTCCGCATTTTTATTTTTAGACAAGATGATTATGTAACTTCCAAAGCCCTGTAATAGTTAGGTTTATTTTCTCGCACTTTAAATTCCTACAAATGTTTAACTGTGAGATGCATGGTTAATAGGATTGTATGGGAAAAATGCTTGAAAATTAAAATGGTAGATCACCTAATGTTCAAAGATTAAATAACTGAAACAATTCACATGCACATATTCACTCCTAGGGTTTACCCCACTTCGGTTGCCTTCGGTAAACAATCATTAAGCATAGGAGGTTTTAGTGATTGCCCTCCAGTCTAAAAGATCAAAATGTCTCATTCAAATGTTGCCTCGGAAATGTTGCCTCGAAAAGATCTTAAGACTCTAGGGTTACTACTAAAATTTTCTAACTATTGTTTTAGTAATTGTACTTGGCCCTTTCGAATGTCCCTTACAACTCTAACGATGGTGCTACCTACTCCTTAATAGTAGGATAGCATTGTCTAGAGGAAACGAGAATAAACAATCTTTTTCGAGTAGGTAGAATCTTAAGTACTTGCTCAGCAAAACTTTTCACACAAACACCTTTCAAAACAACTTCGTCACACCCTTGAGGACTGATACAAGGGTTATCACGAAGTAAAACGTTTTTTCAAAACAAGCACACACAAGCAATTTTAAAAAGATAAGCAAGTACCTAAGAGCCCATGGAAAACCATTGATAGAAAGGGTGATAACACCTTCCCTTTCTATAATCTACCCCCCGTACTGAGAATATCTCGAAAAAAGATTTTTTTTATTCTTTTTCCTTTTCCTTGTTGGATGAAATAAAAGTCGGTGGCGACTCTTGCTTACCGCAACATTTTGTGCACGAAAAATGCAAAACACAAACCAGTATAACAGTCAGTTCTGCCACCGTATCACATTGTGTACATCATAATTCAGAGTTTTGTTAGGTCAACTGGGTGGATTGACATGCTTATGATACAAATTGCCTTTAGACAAGTATTCAAGAGCTCTAAATGCAAGCATTGAGTTAGAGGCCATTTGTATTCAATTATGGCATACGTGAATATTTGATTTAATATGAGAACATAGTTATAAAGTGAATTCAAGATGCAAGGATAACATCCTTTTGACTAAGAGAAGTTTCAAAGCCATTTCTTTGGATTATTCATCATGAAAGTGAAAGCAAACTTCTTTACAAAACACAAGAATCCATATGTCATGTTATGTCATTCAATCATACCATTACAACTTCAAATCATCTATTTTCCAACATAGAAAAAATTTACACAAGAAAATACGCCCATATTATTACAAAGTGTGCAAAGGCATCACAAAATCACTACCCAACACGAGACATTACATCAAGAAATCATACACAACACATATGCCTTATCCTAAACCCAGTGGCTACTATTCTTGGTGCTTCCATCTTCACCAATTCATGTCCCTAATTCAATCTTCATGCCTTACATTACACTAACCATATTCAGAGAAAATCAAATAAGTTCAGCTAGCCAAACTGCTCTGCGTGTTAAGGGAAAAAACCAGAAAAATGAACTCCAAGCTTCAAGCACCTATCCCAAAATTCAAGCCACAATAAAAGTCGCTCTAATTCTCAAATATTTGTTGTCGCCTGCATCCAGTAACTCAAACGAAATCCAAATAAACCTGCAGCCCCACATCCATCAAACAATTCGCTACACAAATCCAAATTGAAACTGCAACCCTGCATAATCATGAAATAAAAACCAGTTCAGCCTTAATGATAACCAAAAAACAATTCAATTTAGTAGTTATCCAATTCAAAAAACCAGTCAACATTAAACACATTAAACCACATCAAAGCTAGATATCTAGTTTACAAAAACAGTTTAGAAAGCCTGAAACAACTTAGCAGTTCACATTAACTAATAGTCTATAACAGTTAATAACAAAAACTGATTACTAACAGAAACTCTAACCAACCTAACTATCTTCAACTTCATCTAGCATTAACAGAATTTCACTATAACTAACAATACTATTAATAGAGTAATAACTTATAACTAATTTTTTTCCATAACAAACTAACAAAAAAATAACAGAAGACAGAAATGGAATTATAGCTTCCTTTAACTTCCTCTAACTACTAACCAACTTTTGAACTAACTTCAAGTAACATAATTACAACTAACTTTGTAACTGAATTCCAAATCCTCAACAATTTGTATAACAAAATTCAGAAGAAAGAGAGAGGGGTTCGAGATTCATTCACAACATAAAAATCATACAGTGAAAACTCACCAGAAAAGCTTTATTCGATTCTCTCTCTGCAACTTCACTTATCACTAATTCAGACCCTGGAATGTCTCTGCAAGATTGATTCTCCTCAATTTCCATCGTCTTCTATCGTGTACCTCTTATTCACGTCATCATCGACATATTTTCCAGTCTCCACAATTATAGCAACAATCACTCTATCACATCATTTCCTCTGCTTCAATAGGAACAACCACAACAACAAAGACAATTCAGAAAATGGAAGCGAAGAAGAAGAGATGAAGAAGAATTGAAAGCGAAAAATGCATATTACCTTTGAATTTCCGGTCATCTCCTCCGATCTGAAGGAGCACCCGACTCCCTCTGGTAGGTAAAAACGATCGCCCTTCTTCATCTTTTCGTCTTTTTCTTGCTATGAGTTTGCAAACCGGTGCGTATATTAGGGTGTACTGAAAAGAAATCCCGAAGTATCGAGTTCTAATTCTTCGATTTCATTGATTAATCACAAGGTGAACCTAGGATTTTTTTAGATGTAGAGAGATGGATTGAAAGTTTGGGAAGTGGAATCATAGATATAAATTCAGAAGGATCGACGAAGGAGGAGGGAGTCTTCGGTGACAGACGGTGTTTCGTGGTGAGTTTTTTGGTTGAGAGTGAGAAGAATAAGTTGGGTATCGTGAAAGATGAACAGACACAGTCTGAACCCTAGAAGACAATACATTTAATTTGTTTTTGTAATTAAATATAAAACAAAAAAAACTGAATAATAAAATTGGGACTTTGTGTTGTTGTTGGATGCGAACCAAGTCCATCCTGTCCTTGAGCCTGTTTAGTTTTTTTGGAAATTATTATTACAAAAAGGGACCCCTAGACTCGCAGGATAGGTCTTAGCGCCCTGGATTGGACTACACCATTGGATTCCAGTATTACACCCCTTTTTTAAAATCCCCAATGCACCCCTTTTTGTTTGATATCGGGCCAGTAGATAAAGCCCAATGATCTCCATTTTTGGAGCCTGAGGTCAGCTAAACAAAACAAAAATCGGCATTGGAGACTTTTAGCTGATTGGGCCTGGTACCATTTTACTTTGTTGCACCCTCGCTGAGCCCTTTACACCACTTTTTTTTTGCACTTAAATTGTGAATAAAAAGAAGGGTTCTGGACCTTATTATTGTTGGGCCTAACGCCCTTGCTGCTGTCAAACACCCATTCTGACTTTACACCCCCTGTGTCCTTTATTTTAATTTTGTCATTTTTTTATTATAATTTCTCTTTCATAATTTTTGTCAATAAAAGTACATGATAAAAATATAATAAAAACAATAAAAAAAAATAGTAGAATATTTTAGAAATTTTTAGGAATTAATTCTTTAGCTTTTTTTAGAATTTTCCTTACTTAAAAACTACTAAAAAATACTTATTTTTTCTTTTAATTCTTATTGATATTTCCATACCGTTGTGCCCCGTTATTTTTGATGCGTTTGTTCATGGTGCAAGGTACATTTTGGGTGTTTTCGATCATGTAACATAACAAGTGTTATGCGATTGAAGAATATGGCTTATGCTCGTTTCCGATGAGACACACCTTATTTCTCATCGTCCTGAGAAATTCATATTTTCTCATATCATATTATATGTTGTCCTGATACATGTGATATTTTATGATGCTTTGTGCAAGAACTTCTGATTACACGTTGCATTCACAACACACATTTGCTTTTATCTTAGTTGGATATTATTTCTGACTTTGTTTGTTTCTTGGTGAAGCTTGCTCGACACGTACTCCCTACTTCTCTAATGATTTCGTCTGCTTTGGACGATTTTCTTACTTGTGGTAGTCGCTGCTACTACCCTTATATTGTTCCTCTCTTTATCTTACTTCTTTCCCGCTTTCTAGAGATCATGAGAAGTAGGGATTTACTGCTTTCTGATGCCATGAGAAGTAGGGTAGAGATGTATGAAGGGGATCTCTGTTGCCGATCATGTTAGGAATCTCTCTAGTTCATTTAAAGACCCATTTAGGGCAATTCTGCTTTGTGTGCTTCTGTGTGCTATATGTGTTTGTTTAAAACCCTACCTTTGAAGTAGGTATTCCGCATGTGTGTTTAGACTTGTGCTTGTATAGCGGGATGATGGTTTTAGGTCCTTTTGTGGAAACCATTCCTAAGTCCTCAAAGAGAGGCAAGTGGAAAGGGTTAGAAATCAACCCCCACCAGTTTTCATTCTTGTCGTTCCTATTCGCACTTTTTGCAAGTTCCGAGCTTCGAACACGTACCCAAGATCATGTGTATTCGAGTCCATCAAGTGGGGAAGGGTTTTGCAATCAAACCCCCACACTTTGTCAGGAGTTCGCATTGGCCGATGCTGACACTCTGTGATTTTTCATATTGTCTTCTGTCGCCTACCTCGATCTTCCATATCTTGGTTAGGCCTTTACCCGAGTTAGCATGGACTACTCGTGGCATGTGTGTTTTATTTCGAGCTTGCTTGTTTTATCCTCGTACATACCATGTTCCCGTAGGATGTGCTTGTTCCTTTCGAATGCAAGTTAGACCTTAGGTTGAAAACCATGCATGCTAACATTAGGTAGAAATTTCCCTTTCATCCCAACCTTAGGACTACCATTGAATGATAACATTAGGATTAGAAATATGCTAGTCTCCCTTAGACTCTTTTCTTCCCATTTTTGCATCCTTGCATCTAAAACTTCCTTTTCTTAGCAAATCAAAAACATGCTAATCAAGCTTAAACCCTTTTTCAAGGTAACAAAACACAAACCAATCAAACGTGGCATCCTGCCTTGAGGGCGTAACTCAAAACCATTTTCAGAAAGGACATGATTAATTTACTTATGTGCCAACGCGCAAGTATCCAAAGGTCGAGCTGCGGCAGAAGGCTGAATTAACATTGTTCATAAAAAACATAAAACAAACAAAAACATGTGAGGCGAACTACGATAACTCTGATTCCTAAAAAAGGATACGTAGGCATTGGGGTAGGGCCCAAGCAAGCACAACTTTATTTTCCCTACATTATTTTCTCCTTTCTTTTGCATGCATTCGTCCTCAGTAATAAGCAGCAAGCATAGTTTAGACACACACATAAGATAGATAACAAGAGTGGATACCGTAGAGTACTACGTGTATGTGGGGTGCTAATACCTTCTCCTCGCGTAACAGACTCCCTTGCCTGATCTCTCGGTCGCAAGACCGTGACTTCTCCCTTTTCAGGTTTTCTCGATATTTAACTTTCCCTTCATGTGGGATAAAAGACATTCGATGACGACTTCATTGTCTGATGATTTTTAGCCGGTTGTTTCAGTTGGCGACTTCACTGGGGAAAGATGACCAATTACTCGTCCATCCCGGAGTCGTTCCTAGCTCTTTTTTCTTTTCTTTGGGTGTTTATTTTTATGCTTTTAGTTTATTCATTCATACATAATTACTTGAGCATGTGTATGCATTGCATTTTATTGCCTTCCATATTGGTTATCTACCATGCTGGCTTCTGCTTCTTGTTGGGTGGGTGTTACTATAAGGTAAAAGATACAAGTACCCAGGCCAGAGTTGTATACCACTAGGAATATAGTGGAGAGTCATGAAGGGCGATAGGCGTATGCTGTATCACCATATGATCATGAAGCCACAATCAGTTGAGGTTCAATTGAGGTATTGTCAGCATCACAGATGTGCATGATGATGATACTTTCAGGTGACCTATGATTCGGATTATCCATGACCTTACCTTGACCAAAGTTTCACCTGTGAGTGGGGAGGGATAATCCTCACATGCATCATTGGTGACTTATTCTGTTGGTGGCATGTTCTGTTGGTGATGACTATGGGGTTCTCAGATTTATTTACTGAGTTCCTAATCTAATGTTTCATGGGGTTCTTCCAGTTATGTTTTGAACCTGTGATCCTGATACTCGTAAACTATACATAAGATAGTACAACAGAAATAGGTATCATGTAAGTAGTAATCCCATGATCATTTGAACTTGCATCATATCATGTTTACTTTTTCAAAAGAAATTTCAGAAAAATGAAACTATATATTAACCTTGCATTTGCATGTCCATTCCGGGGTATCTCACGAAGTTATAGTTTCCGTCAGTGATGTCTAGAAACAGTGAGGTTCTCAAGAAGACCAAAAGAGACATTTTACATATCAGCTCCACTCAAGTTCTTGGCCTTCTTCGAAGAGTTCGAAAGACCGTTTAGTCCATCCTAATGCAAAGGCTTTCTGAAAAAGACATGATTGCACCTTGACTCTGATAGGTGTTCAGGTTGATAATGGAGCTCTTTGGACTCTACTTCAGCTTTACGACTACGAGTTATGTTGTTTCTCTTTCTAGGACTATTAGATCGCTCCGAATTTGGAAGAGTACTCTTATTTCCTCAAAGATCACCAAGCACGTACCGTTTGTTGATGTTCCGAATGAGCCCAATCTTGAA